GGAGGAAACCCTGGAGAGAATTCACAACAATGATAGCAGTCTGACTGAAGTCAACCTTAACAACATCAAGGTCAGCTCATTGGAACGTCACAATTATGAAAAAATTATGCACAGATAAAAAAAAAATGTTTGTCAAAGGGAGCTTGAAGCTGGACTCAGAGTCCTTAAACGCCCAAACAAGATTAATTTCCCATATGACAACAAATATTACACAATCGTTTCAGTGAACCAGCTCATGTCATATGCTATACTGATCCTTGGCTGCAAAACCCGGATCTGCAAGCTTATCAAGTATTCCTTGTTTGCGAACTGAACATCTCCGTATTTTCCTTGCAGGACATTCCCATCCCAACACTAAAAGAGATCTTTGAAGCGATGAAAGGAAACTCTCACGTGGAGTTTCTGAGCATCGCTGCAACCCGAAGCAACGACCCTGTGGCATATGTGAGTAAATTACCCACTGTAATTATCAACTGCTTGCCAATGACAGCAAATTTCCTCAAAGTTTAAATCAATTTTTATGGTATTTATTTCTTTGATATAAAAATCTTAGAAATGTCTTACAGTTTATATCTCGTTCTAGCTACAGATCTGTTTGTTTACTGAATGACTCTTGATTGAGGGTATTAGAGGATATTTATTTGTAGTGTAAAATATCAACTTAAGGTACTGTTGTACCTCTACTGTGTAATATTGTTTCACATAAAAAGAGATTAATTGCAATGACTGAAGTTTTCCTTCAGATTCTATAAAGATCTCCTTTTCTTTGTCACCTGCTCTTCAGATGCACTGTGGTAAACTATAGTTTATATCCGAATGTGTCTGCCACCTGACTATAAAAAATATTTTTAAGTCCTTAAGAGCTTTTAAAATGTGGAAGAAAAATATAGTTTCAATGTGCGTTTCTGTCTGTGTTTCTAGGCATGCGCTGAGATGCTGCAGGAGAACACCAGCTTACAGAGTCTTAACATCGAGTCTAACTTCATCACTGCAGACGGCATGATGGCGATCATCAAAGCAATGGCTAATAACGCCACACTGATGGAGCTCAAGATTGACAACCAGGTTAGAAACAAATTATTGGACATGCTGTGCATCTACAGCTGATAATTTGCAAGCCACTTTGATACTCACCTGTAGAATAATTTAAGCCTGGCACACAAACATACCATTTGTGTGCAAAACAATGCCAACATCTACAGTTTTACAGACATTAAATTGTAATTTTGTACCAACAAAGTGATTCCAAAAGAGCTATTAACCGAAGACTTGGCATATTTCAGCATGATGTGCAGTGTAATCTAAAAAAAAAAGAAAGAAATTAAATTGAAAAACACAATGAAACATGGAATGACCTCCCCAGAGGCTGGACCTGAACATTACTGAAGCAGTGTGGGATCGTCTTGGCAGAGAAGCTTTAAATGTCCTTCAAGAAGCCTGGAGAACTGTTCCTGAAGACTATTTAAAAAAAAATTATAAGTCTGCCTAAAAGAAGAAAAATGGTGGTAACACCAACTATTAATTTTCAAGCTCATTAGAACTGTGCAGACTTTGCCATTTCCATCAATGCATGCATTTCCCATTTTCATGGTAACATATAAAAAAAGACTTATGCACAGCAACCAAAACAAGACATCCTAATTTTTATTGTCCAAGTATGAAATAACTGAGTTAATACTCATACCCAATGACATGCTTTTCTTACTGCTTTCAAATTTAATTCACAATGGAAAAAAGGACTCAGTGCTTGATTGTGTTATCCTTTCATGTATCATATAGCGACAAAAACTTGGAGACTCGGTTGAGATGGAGATTGCCTCCATGTTGGAGAACAACTCCAGTATCCTGAGATTTGGCTACCACTTCACCCAGCAGGGTCCCCGAGCCAGAGCCGCCATGGCCATCACACGAAACAATGACATGAGTAAGAAACCTGAATCCATGGTCAGATAGTCTTGAAATATTCATGTATAATACAAGGAATCATTTAAAGTGTTATTGGATTGTGCAACAGAATATGAAATCGGCATCTTCTCTCTTTTACATAGTTCGTCAGCAAAGATTAAGATGAACACGACAAGGAGTGAGCAGAAGAGCAACCATTAGCCCCTCGAAGCCTGCAAAAACGGATGACTCTTGTGCCAGCTCACTGTGGTGCAGCAGAGCTGAATGAATTCTTCCAAATTAATTCTGGTCACTGTGCCTGGGGGAAACCATGTCTAACATCCATGTTCAACCATTCATTTCATTTACTGCAGCAAGAGTTTTGTAGGTTGCTGAATTTCTCATAAAGGCATGTAGAGATCACAAGCACAACCTGAAGTGTCTTTTTTGTGCTTTTAGTTTATGCGTCACCAACATCAACCCAAACAAATAGTTAACTATTTTCATTCACTAACTCAATGTGGTGCTATATCATATGTGGGAGAGGGGGGAAAAAAATCTGTAAATACTTTAAATAAAAATATATATTCGATTATTTTTTGTAATTGTTTGGTAAGTTTAATTTTATTGTTTCTAATTCTTATTGCACACATAAATATTATACTCAACAAATATTGTTTTAAATGCACCAAGAAAAAAAAAATCATACTTTGGCACATTTAAGCAGACTATCTACAGGTTGTGAGTAATCTGTATTTGAGCCACTGATACTGGATAAACTGCTATTTACAAAAGTGACAGCATTTTCTTTTCAAAATTGTGTCCATCAAATAATTGCCATCTTGTAAACCTGAATCAAGAAATTACTTAAATAAAACCTGACTGACAAAGTGAAGTCGGCTAAAAGATTTAGACTCAAGAACAGAAGAAAAACAAAGTCCTTGACATCTATATGGGAAGGCTTTGGGACTCCAACGAACCACGGTGAGAGCCATTATCCCCAAATGGACCAAACTTAGAACAATGGTGAACCGTACCAGAAATTGCCAACCTACCAAAATGACTCCAAGAGGACATCAAGAACTCATCCTGGAGGTCACGAAGGAACCCAGCATAACATCTAAAGAACCAAAAGCCTCCCTTATGATTGAACAATAACAAAGAGAGTGGGCAAAAATGGTATCCATTGGAGAGTTCCAAAGAGAGAAATCACAGCTGACCAAAAAGAACACAAAGGCTCATCTCATATTTCCCCCCAAAAAACATCTTGATGATCTCCAAGACTTTGGTGAAAATGTTGGGGGACTGATGAGACAAAGCTGAACTTTCTGGAAGGCTTGAGTGGGGTAAATCTGGCACAAAGCTAACAGCATTTCATAAAAAACAACAGCAAACCAACAGTCAAACCTGGTGGTGGCAGTGTGATGGTTTGGGGCTTGCACTTTAGTGCTTCAGGATCGGTAACTGATGGAACCGTGAATCAGAATATCAGAATGTCCGGCCATCATTTCATGACCTGAAGCATCAAGCCCACTTAGGCGGCAAAACTGAGTCGTTAAACAGGTTCATGCAGGAAAACTCTCCAGTGTGACTGCATGAAAACTATTCTGCAAAGAACAGCAGACCAAAATTCTTCATCCCTTCAATTCAAAATTCCTTACAAAAGCTTGGTTGCAGTTTTTGCCGTCATGGGTGGCACAACCAGTTATAAGGTTTAGGGGGCAAGTAGGTTTGGATAACTCTTTTCCCCTTAATAAATGAAATGATTTTTAAAAACTGCATTCTACAGGTTATCTTCGTCTAATATTAAAATTTACTTGATGATCTGAAACATTTAAGAAATCAGAAGGGGTGCAAATAGTTTTTCACAGCACTATACATAATCGGAACTGTTATAATCATAATCTCATTTTCTGTGGTAAATATTATATGAAATTATTTCCTAAAACTAACACAAAAAAACCCCTTGATTTAATAAATCACAGCCCTTTAATCGCTTACAGTTTCTTCTGATCTTTAGACTTCCTCCAGGCACCTGAGCTATTTTTACATCCCACCCGGCCCAACGCAAATGTGAAACGGATCCTAGCCCACTGAGCTTGAGTTACCTTGTTCCAAATATAAGAACTAACTTTAAGAGGGTTGCACCCTAATGCACCCACAGAAATTTATGAGCAGAAACAGCTGCTAACCTCTCAGGATTTTCACAGCATTGCTTGCATCCCTGCCTTCCACCTCTCGTTTCATTAATCCATTTCTTGAAAGACTTCTCACCTAATGTCAAGTTTGACAAGACCACATATGCTTTTTAGATTTCTCAAAGGTCACATTTTAAAACTGCAAGCTTCACTGACATTTGGCTTTGTGTAAAACTTTCAAGTCAGTGTTGCCTTACCACATCTATTCTGAGAGTTTCTCTTCCACTTCTTAGTTTCCAGTAAAACACGGATGTATTTTTGGACTGTAACCCTGTCACAAATGTATTCACCACATTGTATTTATGCTTCTACTGTTTCGTAAACAATAATACTGAAATATCAGATTTGAATTTGTCTTAAAACGCTCTAACATACTTCCAAATCCCTACAAAGACGTTTTAAGACCGTGGTGACGCTCTTAACTCCAAACTAATGAAGTGAGTGAGCTTCTGAAACATATTAGCCATGTCATCAGAAACTAACCCATGTTAAGTCCCTTTGCCCCCTTCCACTGACCCTGATGTTATCCAATTTATACCAACTGTGCTGAGAGGAGCTTTAAACGAACGCACAGATTAGCACCAATACAGCCAATCTGCTGCTGATTTATAGGAAAGCTGGCTGAGAATTGATCGTATCAGACAGAGCTCACTGAACTCAAATGGAAAGGACACGATGAACAAGAAAAGGGTAATGAAAATAGTCACAATAATTATAAAGGTCAGAAGTTCAGCTGAAAATTGTTGCCCGAGCTTTTAAACCTGCTTCTTTCATTCTAGAGGAGCCATGAAAAAGATGTAAGGATAATGTCACTGAGGATGGCACAGTTTATCCAGTCTTTCCAGACTTCTAAGATGTTTCATGTTCAGGCGGGATGTTTTGGCAAAAGAACATCCTGGTGATCAAGAATGAGAATGATTTTCTTATAAAACTAATTTCATTTAATGAACACAAACCCCCAACTACATCACAATAACAAGTTTTAAAAAACAGAGCTATCACATATGTTGGGACAATGTTTTGTGAGTGATCCACCACAAAAGAAGAAAGTTGTTCAACAGTCCAGGATGACTTTTTCAGTCTTAATCTTTATGTCTTTAAAGCTAAGGCAGATGTTTTAATGTATAAATTCTATACAGATTTTAAAAATGTTCTGAATTTCTGCCAGATAATCAGGCAAATGCCAATTTGAGTATTTTCCAACTTCTTAATAACATGAAGAGTTTGGTCAGTCGTATTGAATATGAATCTTTCCAACATCACCTTCCCCAGAATTCTGATGTTACCTTAATCTGCTTGTGCAAGTAGGGAATCAAACATGCAGCAGACAAAAGAGCCAAATCTTAACACATCTTTGGGACAAACTTGCTCTTCCCGCATGAAGAAGCACAACCTGTCGGGGGGGAGGGTCACAAGCAGAGGTCACATTACACAAATCTTTTCAACAGATTGGAGGAGCGGTGTTGGATTTTAATGTAACAAAAAATATTCACAGAACATTTTAAGGAAAAGTGCCGGTAACTGAGTGGTTTGTCTCTGTCACAGGTGTAAACGATTTCAGACTCTTCCATTCAGGACTCTTTATGGGTGTAGAGGGATTTCCTCCCTGATAAGTAAGCTGTTAGAGAATATAAGTACTCAAATTCAGAGACCATTGGTTAATTCTTGTCACTTTCCTGCAACTCAATGCTTTTCAGGGTGGACTATGATAAGCCAACAAAGGTTCAGCCTTAAGCATAAAATATAACTGGATATGAAAAGTTGTCACTTGAATAAAGACTGACTCTGTAGCAACCTCTATTGATCACATCCTGGATGGAAGAAATAGTTCGACGCTGAACACTCAGTAGCTTTAAAAAAACAAACAAACAAACAACAAAACAACAAAAAAAACAAAAACAAAACATAAAAAGGCTGATGAACAGAATAAATCTGTTAAATTTTTGTTTTCACATTGAGCTGTCTGTTTTATGCAGCACTGTGCCTCGTGAACGTACCACTGTGGTACAGGTTTTATCTGTGTGTCCACACCATTCTGGTGCTCTCATTTATTTGCAGGCGCTGGGGCAAGCGTGAGCGGCTCTTCCTCATCTGAATCAAACTCGACATTCTCGTCTTTAACCCACTTGCCGCTGTGGTCTTGCAGCCACCCGTCACTATGATAAAACAACAACAACAAAAAAAATAGATGAAATGCACTGAAAATCTAATAGTGACCTATGCAGATGTGATAAAAGTAGTGAAAATGTAGAACATTAGAAAGTGAAAGTCCCACAACATTTAGGCACCTTTTCAGTTTGAGATAGTGCTCCAGCTCCCTCTTCCTCTGAGCAGTAATGGGTTCAGCCTCCTGTCTCTCTGCAGCCTGACATTCGGCAGTATCTTTTGATGGATGTGGCTCGTTATTGGCTACAAAAGGAGTTGAAGCAAAATCATGACCGAGGTTTGCTCAAAATAAAAGCTGACAATAAAACATTTTCTCTAGCAGATCTTACCTGTTGAACAGACAGTAGAGTTGCTTTGTGACGTGTTCACTGAAATGCCAGACTCCCAGCATGCAGATGTCATGTTGTCACTGGGGTTTGAGCTGGTGCTTGCTGTCACTTTTTCAGATTTTGTACTTAAAAAGAATGACAAATAATTTAAATTGTGTTTTTTATTGTATGGCTTTAAATACAGACAACAACTCTCATACCAAGTAATCACTCACCTGGTTTTTCTATGGCAGCTGTTATATGGTACCGTTTTCAGCAAAGCATGATGGGTGAGCTTCCGTGTTTGTGCTAGTAATGGGGCTGAACTGGAGGGCTCCTGAAATCACAACAAGAGTAGCTCATATTTTCCACCATTACACAACTACACTGAATTGTTTAGTAAGGTGTAATTTGTTAGGGTCATATGGTAGTCACACGGGCACCACATAAGTAATTTAACAGGAGACAGCATGGAATAACAATGTCATGCAGTAATGAAAGATTACATCTGTCGAGCTTGTGATGTTTTTCCTGTGATGATTCATTGACCGTCTGCTGGCAGAATGACCCAGCTGGTTCTCATCTGTTGTTGCTTTGTTAAACACAGCTTTTTTCTGTTGGCTATGAGAGACTTGTAACCTTGACAGAGAACGCATGATTAACAGTTACTGACCTGCCTTTTTTCTTCAGCCTGGACATAGTTTTCATGTTGCCGTTTTGTTATTTCAGTCTTCAGCCGTGCTTTCTTGCCATAAAATGCTTTTAGCCCTGAGTAGAACACACAACAAACAATTGGGTTTACTAAAAAGTCAATGTAAAATGAACCAAACCTGAAAAAAAAAAAAGTCATACTCGTTTCCCTTTGAAGTACAGCAAGTTTGGTAGATATCATGAAGACGTGCAAAACTTTACCTTCATACTGTAGAAATTAAACTCGTATCGAAATGTAGGTAAAAACAACATTTTTTATATGCTGTAATTTATCTAACATACATGTTATACGGTGATACCCTTATTCAAAATACACTTTCCGGCATTTTTTCATCAGAAAATAAAGAAAACCTCCAGGGTACACATGCTTGTCTTTGACTGTTTGTGTAAGAGACAACAGACAGAGTTTTGCTTTTCCGAATGAGAAAAGTTGGATATTTAAAAAAAAAAAAAAAAAAAAATGAGGTGAAGAAAAATTAGATAGTTGTACAAGACTCTGATACTTAAAGAGTACAATTTGTTTGACAGCCATTTAAAGTGATGGAAAAACTAACATAAATTCAAAAGCATGGAATTTTTACTTATCCCTATGTACTTGTAAATATACAGTTTTAGCGTAAAAAAGTGCGACAATGTATAATTGTTTGGGTTTTTAATTCTTCCAAATAATGAGGGGATATCAAATCCAGATAATTTGAAAAGAAAAACACAAAAACAGCTTACCAATGACGCAATCCAAAAACTACTGAACTTTCCAATATTTCAACTCTTTGTTATCTTGATTATCTTGACTTGATTATCTACAAATCCAATACAAAATTCCCCCCTGGCTGCTGCTTTTGAGTTTTATTGAGTGTATTCATTTACTCTGTTGGGTTCTCAACTGCTGCATCAAATTACAATACAGGTCTTGTTTTGACTGTTGTTTTGCCTGATGACTACATTGGCATTTTACTGAGGACACAACTACTGACCAGCACATCTCTTTCTTTGATCCTCAGTTAGTTATGTAGCTTCTCCCTCTCACAAGTAGCTTTTCAGTCTTCAGTGTTGTATTTTATTTTTGAGCAGATTGTATTAAATATGCATAGTTTATGTATCTGTATTCCTCTGATTTTGTGTAGCATATGTAGCAAGGATGGCATATTAACCTGCACTTCACAGCACCTCAGATGATAGCACGACCTCATACAAGTGCCCCTCCTGCAGCATTGACTTTGAAATGCAGAGCCATTTAAAATATGGGGCACTGTCTCAATTAATAGGGCGAAAGACAAGGGATAGAAATGCTGTGCAGATGGCTAACCCTTGATACAGTGCTTCTTAATAAGACTGGGAGCGAAACTTCAGGTCCCCTGGGTCCCCAAATTGCTTTAAATAACTTTACAGGTTCAAGGTGCTCACCGTCTAGATGCCTCTTTCCTTTTCTGTGGACTGCCAACATGTCGACTGTATCAAACACAGGACGGTAGGAACACACAAGGCAAGTGTACCTATAAGATAAGGGGATAAATTACATTTAATGCCATTAGCTACACAAGTTTTTCTTTCCCAAACATATCAATGTTTTGAAGTTCACTTCACCTTCCGTTTTTCATAAGAGCAGCCTCATCTTCTGGAATAAAATTAGACAAAAGGTCTGCCACACGACGTTTCTGTAAAACGAAGTGAATAACGTTAGATAGTATGTAAGTATTACTACTTATTTTATTCTCCAAAGAAATAACTACAATATGTTGTTAGCTTAAAGATGCTAACACTAGCCGCATGTGTGCTCTTAGCTGAAGTCTCTGTTATTAAGCCAACATAAAATGCTGCAAATTGATCCATACCTTAAGGAGATTCAGCTGGCTTTTATCATCACCTTCTCTTTTAAAAGACATAACTGTTATGATCGATAATCTAAAAACTAATCTGAATAGCAGCGTATAGCTTCTTGGCTATAATATATAAGCTAATAGCAATGCTGCATTCATGGACAAACGGAAGATGGGAAATATAGACAACTTCCCCCCCCTATGTGCTCAGCTTTGAGGTGGATAATTGTTCCGGCTATCGGAACTACAACGATATCTGCTTGTTTTTATAACATAAAGTCCGCATAGTCATTTGAAAGCTCGATTTGTGGCTATAGTTCATATTTACTAAATTTGCGGAAAAAAAAACCAAACTCTGTCAACTTAATATAAAACGCACAATTTTCCCCTACAGTCTTTAATGCAACACGTTGTGGCGAATCATCGGACTAGTCAGTGAACACGGCAGCCATGGCAACATATGGTTGTAGACAGCTGACTGCAAGAGTTTTGAAAACAAGTTTTTCAGCGACTTTTAGGTGTGTATTTGACAGATAAGGTACGTTATATTTGTAATCCAAGAAATTTTCTATAGAGTTTAAACGGCTGTCATTTGGAGAAAATATTGAACGCTTGGAAAAATAACGCGCGACGACATTAATTAAGTTGATAGCCTTAGCTAGCAGGCTAACTAAGCTGCTAGTTTGATAGTTATGGGCTAAAGCGGAAGCCATTATTGTAAAGATGTTATCAGCAGTGAAGTTCGCTGGTACGCGCATTTTAGGCCCACATGGTTGTTTACCACCACACGAAAAAAGAACAATATAAGTGCTTTACGACAATGTCAGGGGAGCGAGCTCCACTACCAGCCGGAGGGGACGGCCTACTCCGAGGGAACCGCACAAGATCTTACGGCAGTTTGATCCGATCTCCGCTGTCCCCGGTGCACCAGAGACGCATTGAACATATAATTCAGCCGGGAGAGACACTGCAAGGCCTGGCGCTGAAGTATGGAGTGTCTGTGAGTATGACTGTGTTGATTTGACTCTGAGACTGAATTAGTTCAAGTATTCATTTTTTGCGCCTTTAACAGTTCATATTAAGCTTATATTGAAATTTACTTGTTGCGATATGTCTTCTAACTGAATACTTGATTTGCCAATACTGAAATGTAAATGTGGGTGAATATTCACTTTTCTTATAGTCGTTGTTTTATTTTCATATTTATTGAGGTAGGTTATCTCAGTGGTTCAACAAAACGTTCAACTACATAATTAAGTTGTTTATTCAGCTGTTAGGGCATACTATGAAAAAGTGTTTGCCTTAAAATGGCATGTATTTATTTGGTTTCCTGTCTGCCTACTGATCTCGGTAAAAGTGAGACTTGATTTAGCCAAGTCTAATACTAATTAACAAAAGGTTCACAAGGACATCTTCTCTTTCAGATGGAGCAAATCAAAAGAGCAAACAGGCTTTACACCAATGACTCAATATTCCTGAAGAAGTCTTTGACAATCCCTGTGATATCAGACCTGGATGACTGCAGTAATGGGTTGGATGTGGCGGAGGAGGATGGCAACAAAGGCAGTGGTAACTCTGCTTCACTTCACAATGGACACATAGGGAGTTCCTCTGAGAAAAAGCAAGAAGACAGAAAAGATCTCACTCCAGGGGATTTTTTGAAAAGGTTGGATGACTTGATAAGCCAGTCCAAGCAGGCTGCAGTCAAAGGATGCCAGGAAGCAGAGAAAAGGTATAACTGTGCCTGTCGCTGGTTGCTCTTTTCTTTGCACAGTTGTTGTCCAGTCAGGGTCATTTGTAGCATTACAGAGACTTACTCTCTTCGTATTTAAGTCACTAATAGTTAGATCAGTTGGTCCTGCTTATGCATATGTTTTTAGTCATAATCCCTGGGCCATTATACTCATGCCATTCGTATTCCTAAACACAGTTCAGTGGAAATATTATGTTACTCAGATTAACATTTTTTCCTCCAGGTTAATATTGGAACATATTACTGCATGAGAAATGGTCAGTGGCAGTGTAATTTGCAAATATTGTACCTTCACTGATGTGTAAGTAATGTTGAGGTCATGGTCAAATATAATGCATTTTGATGCTAAGCATAGATATGCATGGATAGTATCTGATAGTCAGATTAGCCTAGATTGTCATGTCAAGTATAGTCATCCACCTTTCTGGCCTTCTTAATATTTCATCAGCCACTCACAATGTGGCTGTTCAAAAGATTCCCAATGCTTAATAGCTGCTTTAAATGCAGTTTCTAATGGCCTGGTGATAGTACCAGTGCAACAGCGATATTTTTTTTAAGAATACCAATCAATTTAGCCTAAAGTCAGTACACTCTGAACGACTTGCTCTGTTATATATTTATTTTATTTGCCAGGTTTGCTGCACTAGAAGCAACTTGCAACAACAGGACATCAGATTGCCGGCCGCTTACGAGGTCACAGAGTGTCATTTCATCTTCCAGGATGGCAGTACAGGGGACAGTACCGCTCACTGTCACCAAACTGACCAGGAAACTGAGAGACAAGGAAGATGAGATCTTTGAACTGTGACATGTCTGTCACTCAGAACATTAATGGAGCTTTCCCAGGGAGCCGTGATGCGCTGTTTGATCTCCAGAATAATGGAGCGTTACGGATAAAGGAATGAAAAGGAATCCCCGGTGATCCCGCTGCTGCTTAAAGTATAAAAGTGTTTTCACACTTCCATTTAAAAATTTATATTGCACAATTGTAGACTTGTTATTTATTTGGTGAGACATGCTGTAGGTTGTGAAAAGCTTCATATGACTATTCACATCTGGGAAGTTGGAAACTTGAAATTTGAAGAATTAAAAATCAATCATATTTGTAGTCAGATGATCATATGGTCAACACAAAAAGGGTTTGTGTGTAACTGCCTCATATTTTCAGACTTATAACGTTAGGAAATGGAATCTAAAACACAAGTCGTGTTTACTGTAATAATGATGATGACAATGAACTGGTTAGAATGATGGTTTTTCTATTAATGCTGAAAATGCAAGAAAAAATGTTGTAGGCTTTAGAATATTTGATAGCAATGATTGTATTGTTAAGGTTATATTTCTAATGTCTTTTCAATTTTGTATTGTTTGTTTTAAAATACATATTTTTATCCCATGTTAAATGACATTTGTTCACATTACTGCTAACAAATATTTCTTTTAGTATAACATGTAGATTTAGCTGTTTTGGGAGATTTAATGTCCAATTGGAGTTGATTTTTATCTGTTTTAACTGCCATATAAGACCAACGAATAGTCAGTAGGCCAATGAATTTAAACATTTTTTAAGCCCTACTGCGATCCAAAAATCATGAATTATAGATTGGATGTCCAAGCAGTCATGAGTAAAGAGTCTGTCTTTTTGTTGAGCTAAACATGTTTTTAAAATACAGTCATGGTCGCAGTAATTGTGCACTCTGGGGTCATTATCTTTATTTTTGGCTTGATTGTTGTCTGGACACCTCAGTAAATACAGTTTGTTGCTGCAGAAGCATCATCTTAACCACCAGATGGCAGTGCTGTGCTATAGTGGTATTGTTCCCAGGCCTAACTTGCTTATGCATCGGTCCACCTGATTCATATCAGTGATTATAATGCATAATATCAGTAGTTCTGAATAATACAGTTCAAAGTCACAAATATTAGATGATACTTTGTGTCCTAGTAAAATAATCAATGCAGAATATATCTGTTTAATTTCAAGTTTGTTTTCTCTGGACACTGTCTGAATAGAAGATTAGCATCACTTACATAATATATATTTATGGCCCCAAAATATCAAAAACTTGAATGACTCCACAAAGCTTTTTTTGTATCCCTCATGTTCTTTGAGAACTATGGGAAAGCAGGTTGGTTCTCAAATGACTTGTTTTATGTTGCCAGTCCTCAGTAACAGAAAAACAAGCAGTTCGGAGTCCTAGTTGAGTCTGTCTGTTGATCTCCCAGTGTCTGTTTGAAATTTAGTTCTGATGTCATATTGTCCCATCCTCCACTAGTTTATTCAGTCCTTTACAGATCTTGGTGAGGTTGGGTCTGAAGGGCCCATCAGGGTTGTACAGTTGGGTCAGGAGCTGTGGGTCGGAGTAATGGTTGAAGACATGGTTGATGCGACCATGAGATTTAGTGGTGAGGTGGGTGTTGACCAGTTTCAGCAGCAGATCCCTGCAGCTGGTCAGGATGTCTGCCATCACTGTTTTTTCAAAGGTAAAGTCCACCTGCGTCAGACAAGACATGCATTCATGTTACGTATTTCATACAAGTCAAATTGTATAATATCTTAATGTGAAGTAGCAGGATATGATGTATGAATATTCTACCAGGTTTAAAGACTTCTTAGAGATTGCATATTTTTGTTATTTTGCATCATTAATCTTCCTGCATATTCAGTTTTAATCCCAATACAGAAGTTTCAATATCAACGTATTGTTCTCTCACATTACCAAAGCAGAGAAACAAGCACTTGATTATGTGGAACTGAAATAAAACAAGCGACCCTTTAAAGCAACGTCTGAGCCACGCGTTGATGCATAAGAGAATCCTATTCAACAGTGAATTAACCTGGACGTTTTGATGCCATGTGATTAATATATTTATTTATCTGTTTTAATTGGAAATATTAACACAACTGCAAATTGCATTTATTGTGGAAAAACTAAGGTCAGAAACCTCTTGAAGTTGCCTGATTTTCCAGCCTTGAAGTTCATGCTGCGCACAAAACATTTTCCCCATTTGAGAGTAATTGGCATTCTTTTGCAATTGGAGCTAGAAAACAAGTGCATTGGCACAAATTTCTTTCAGGTGATGTATGCTTACTCATACATCATGGATTAAAAAATTAAAGTTGGGAAGTGTACCTCATAGAAACTGATAGCTGTCATTGCTCCCTGGTGGAGCTTCTTCTTAAAGTCTTGGGCCACTGCCAGCTCTTCTGTGCTGAAGCGGTTGTTCCTGAAAAGGACGCCAATCTTGACTGCAATCTTGATGAGGTCTTTGATGACTTTCTGAGCCTCTGATTTATTTCCCAAGTAGTCTCTGGAGACCCGGTACAGTTCATCTAGGATCTCACTGGTGGTGTCATCAATGAACATTTGTACAGAGCTTTTTGTGGCCATGCTGCTGAGGATTTTCTTCT